GGGGGAGTCTGAGGTGCAGAATGAAGTCCATTCAGCTTCCATATGCAAATGACCTCAGAGAAGAGTGGCCTAGGCTGCAGTGGGTGGGACAGAACTCAAGCAATGCAAGCTAGTGAATAGGGACAGCTTCTGAGTGACATATCAGGGAGCCAACTGATTTTGCCGGGCATAGAACTTTGCCACCCCAACTGGCCTTTATATTTATAGAGAGATTATACATCTTATAGTGTATATTCAAATTATTTGTATTGTCATTCAGTTTTCAATTCCTGTTGCATTGTTCATTTGATGTCCTGTACTGTACGATTACATTTTGAAAAATCTTTCTGTAGTCTATAAACCTTGAGTTTTGGTTAGAAAGGTGGGCTATAAATAGGCAAATAAATAAATGTAGTGTTAATGGGATATTTCACATTGTCATTTTTTCTGTAATTTCTTGCCAGTTAGATCTCATACTGAGAGTAAACTGAATGAAACATGAATAATGTTCTGTTGGAAGAGGTACAGAATTTTGATACTAGTCTCACTGAGATACATGTCTAGTTTCTGTAGATATATGAAGGCATTGTAGTTGGGACTCACTTTCCCCACAGCAGCAGCAATAAAATTGTTCAAGCACTACAGGACCCAATTTTGATTGGTTCCATAGTGCCAGCTGAGGAGGGGGCATTATTCTCTCCCCCACACCATTTTCCCAAGCTGAAACGATTCCAGTGGGACATCCTGCTGTGCAGCTGCACATGCATGTAAAGCATGTTGGTCATTATTAGTTTGCTCTATGTAAAGTCCCATACAGGCCAATAGCCATGGTGGTGCAAAAGGGGGCGGTGCCCAATCAATAATTTGTCAGGCCCTTCCAATCAGCATTACAGGTTGGCATGAAATCTATCACATGTCTTTCAGGTGGAAGTTTTCTTTGTAAAAAAGGAAGGGGTTGAGGTAAAAAGTGTGAATCCTGTCATAAATCTTCCAAGCAGGGGTCGTTTCGTAGAAAAAGAGCGAGGGGAACTCATTAGCATAACTCATTAGCATATGCCACACACCCTGACATCACCAGAAATGTGTCATAAGGCCACACCCCCTGACATCACTGGAAGTGTGTCATAAGGCCACACACACCGCCCCCAACGATCCTGGCCACCACCGCTGGCCTTGCAGTTCCACTGCCGAGCCCCATGAGGGGCCCGGCGGTGGACCTGCAAGGCCGGCGGGAGTGCAAGGAAGCCCCACGAAGGCCCTCTCTGGCCCCAGGCTGGCTGGGGTGGGAAGAGGCAGGGAGGAAGCAACTTACCCTCCCTCTTCTCCTGCCTCCTCCTGGCTGAATGAGGGCCGGAAGCGGGGTGGCCGGAAGCGGGGGTTGGGGCTTCGTTATGTGCCCCGCTCCCCATACCTCACCCGGGGGAACTGCGATCCTCCGCGATCCCCCCCGAAATGACCTCTGCTTCCAAGGGAGAATTCTCTATGTAATTGGCTAAAACAGAATTAGCAGTTAGCAGGGCTGAAGAGTCCTGATTTTAAAAGCCTGCAGGGGTGCTGGGTGGCACCGTTTGAAGCCTTGAGTTAGTAATTTACAGAGAAAAAAAGGTTGAGTTTCAGGTTTCAGTAACTGGAAGAAGGCTCTCACACTTCATTAATTGTGCAAACTATGTAAAACAGTTGCTTGGGAGGGAATTTTTATATGAGCAGGACTGTGGTTGTTGCCACAGTGTACACTATATATTATGGATTTGTTGTATGTTCTATCATAGTCTTACAGCATTGTTTTCATTTTTTGTAATTTCATTTTCTGCATTGCTTGACATAGCATGTTTGATACTTTTTTTTTGCATTTTTGTACACCTAGTCCTATTGCATTTTTATTAGATCTCATGCTGTTTGATTACAATATTCTATACCATGTAATCCACTTTGAGAAGTAGAAAATTGGTAAATAACTAATACAGTATAAAGAATAAATAAATAATGATGGACTGACTCCCCCTCCCCGAATAAAAATATTCTGGCTACAGGCTTGGTCCCATATTACAACATAAAGTAAAAGGCTTCCTTTAGAAAGGATTCCATAGAGGCACGGAAGGACTTAGCCAATTTTAGGTGGGTCTCTGATCTCACAGAAGAGTATACCCAGTGAATGCAGAGTTATAAAAGTAGGTTTGGAGACAAAGCTCTTTATTCTGGCATGCTGCTCAGGGATTCCCCAGTTTTCTGCGAATTCCTAGGCAATCTTCTGCAAATCTGCTTAATACTCCTATTGACTTTCTCTCCTTCACCATTACCCTCCTGCTCTTTCCATTAACTTGCAGGCACATTTAGCTGCTTCTTAGAATATAACACATTAAAAATAATAAAATGATTTCTCTGATCTTTACTTTTTCATGTCTTTGTTGGATCAAGCACAAGATAGTAACTTTGCAGACTGCCCTCCCCTTATTCTATTTAATTAGTTGGTTTATAAATATTCAATAGATTATCTTACCATGGATACAAATTCTTATGAAGTCTTTAGGACAATACATTTCTAAAAGAGCAACCCTAAACAGGTCTCGTCAGAATCCCACTATTTAATGGAGCTCACTCCAAGGAAATTTTTTAAAAGATTGCACTGTTATTTCCATATCTAGGGTAATTTTCAAATCATCATTCCAGTGTTTAAGATACTATGCTGTGATGTTGTATTTGATGCATAACGAAACTTGTTTCATTTTGTAGGTGACCATGGCCAGTATTGGAATAAATGAAAATCATTCCCGGGAATCCTGTGAAACAATACTTTTTGCTCTTCGAATGGCAACATGGAATCAAATTTTAGATCCATGGGTATATATTCTTCTAAGAAAAGCTGTTCTTAAAAAACTCTTCAAGATTGCTAGGAGATGTTGTGGTGTGCATCTCATTAACTTTCATATGTGGGAACTCAGCTCCATTAAAAATTCTTTAAGAATCGCAGCAATTTCTGATTCACCAGTTACTTCCAAGCAAATGAATCAGCAGCCACTCAGTTCAACAGGGCAATAAAATGTATTACAGAGATTGGTGAAATGATCATGAAGCACCCCAGTATTTGATAGCATGTGAGTGATCTGGTATTTTCTGGTTTTTCCCCAAAACAAGAATTTGGTTTCTTTTCTCATTGTTTACCAGTCTGGAGTTGTTATTACAAGATAGTGATCTTACAAATATACTTTTTAAAGGAGATAGTTTATGTAATTCTCTCTTTCAAGTTGTGGTGTGAAAGAACTACATTACAGAATGGAAAAACATCTATTAAAATTACTGTATGTGAGACAAAAGCTCTGTTAAAATCAGAATATTAAAAAATAGAGTGATAGCGACAGCTCTTGAAACACTATTGAAAATAATAGCTTTTAGGTTTCTAAAAAGAGTATAGATACAAACCAGCCAAGCTAAGCTTTTTAAAGTCCCATATAGTTTAGTGGAAGTACTTTAAGTAGTGTTTATTTCTCACATTGAAATAAATCATGCTTAACTTTCGGGGTGGGTGTTCAGTTATAGACATAACTCCTCAGAAGGAAGAGAAGGTTACTATAGATTTAAAGGGTAGCAGGAAAATCATATCATGCAAATGTGGCACCCAAACCTGTGAAGTGTGAGTAGCAAAAGTTACAAACCACGAAACTAAATGTGAGAATCCATTATTATATCTCTTAATATCTTCAGTTTTATTTTAGAGAAGCCATCAGAAGATGAGGTGGAATTACACCAGTGATTATTAGCTAGGGGTATTTAACTCTTTCCTTCATGATGTTTCCTGGATCAAAAACCCCCTCCCATGACTATTTGCTTCAGTAGGCAATAAAGATACCTATATTTCTCTCTACTAGGGATAATAGTTGTTTTTTGAGGAAGGAGTTAACTCCTCTGCCCAAGGGCCATGTCCCTCCTTTCAAATCACATACTCTGCCCAATTTAAATTTAAAATGTCATCAGGAAATCTGATTATTTCTCTCTTGCCTTGTGTCTGTTTGAGTCCTTAATGTAAGCTAGATTTAGTATCAGTTTTTTAAAATGTACTTGTGCTGAAAACAAGAATTAGGAAACAAATCTATAAGAATCAGTCAACTTTCAACACGGTTTATTGTGACAGAAATTCTGCTGCACTACATTAATTGCGGATCATTCCTTGGCTGTTGCAGTACCATGATTTTTTCATTATAGTAACATCAATATAAAGTTATGTGTTAATTGTTGTGAATCTTTAGAAGTGCAGCAAATTCCTGTCTATGTATAATGTAAACAGTTCTACTTATTGTGAAGTATCATGTGCCAAATGTTAGCTTTGATAGCTCAAATTCATTGTTAATTTGGTTTGTGGCTGTGTGGAGACTCATCTTTTTATCATAAACATGAGAAACAAAACATCCATGGGTTTTTATTGAGCTCAGAATCAAGCATGTAGCTTGATATTCATGTGAGAATTTCCAGGCACTTGGTTCCATCTAAATAACAAATAACTGTTTCAGTCTTTTAGTCTAGAACTCTAAAGAGTTTGCCTGAAATAGACAATTCAGTTTCTTAATGATGTTTCATGTCACAATTTTAACACATGATAGTATAGTCAAACTGAGTTTGAAGTACCTATTCTCCCCTGTTTCAGTAAGATGAAGAAACAGAAACTGGATTGGTTGAAGAGGAACTGTTTATATTCTCTAAGCCATGGAATTCCACAGAGCAGAGCTGGGAAAACTTCTAATAAGAATGTATTAATACATCAGCTTAATATGATCAGTAGCCTTAAATGTTGTGGAGGCAGTACCATATTTTTTAGGTACCAGCCTTGTGCAGTTCTGAATTAATATTGCCAATCACATAACACTTCTAGTATCTCAGGCATCCAAGTGCCTAGGATTTTTCCTACCTTGTATATGTTAGTTCAGCTTTTTTTTTTTTAAGAAAGAACATTGTTGATGTTAAACAGAAGTGTTAATTTGTTTACAAGGAAACTCATAGCAGTAGAAAAATTGTGAGTATACTTGCATGTCACAAGCCTGGGTTTGGATTGTTTTATTTTTTGAGAAGTGAAATCAGCATGTAGAATGCTACCACTTCATTTGCTGCTGCTATTACTGCTGCTATTACTACTAAACATGTCTTTTTTTCCATACCAGCAATGATCTGTGTATGTACAGAACACAAAAGCAATATCATCCAAAAGGCTTATTGTCTGTGTTATATAAACAAGACAGGAACAGGGTTTGATAAAAGATTAGCACAGATAAAGCCTGCACAATACGATCCACCATGGCTGATTCCACACAGAGATCTTTGAATGGTTTAGCAACTCTAGCTGTGCTCCCTTTTTTCTTTTTGTTTCTATGTGACATCATCGTCCATTCCTGGTAAAAACTCCACTTTATTAATCCTGGGGGAAAAAATGCTTCCCAGCTTTGCATTGTTGGGATAATCTTTTTCATGTGTCCAGATGGGAAGGTACACCTTTTGTCTGAGTGAAAGAGATACTCTCTTTGCCCTTTACTCTGTGGGCTTTTCCACATGGATTTCCCCCTCTTGGTTCTGGCTCCATACTGCTTCAGTTTATGCCCTGATTTCCACACATATATTTGTGTGTTTAGTTTTTGCTTCAGAAATTTTTTTTATTATTCCCTGAGATTTTACGGTTCTCTTGAAACCACTTTTACCCCAGTCTTTTTCTGGAAGCTGATTTTAAGTCAGCTTTTTCCTTATGCATAATGTTTCTCTTGGACTGATTTCCCACAAGCAGCTGTGCTGCCCTCAATTTTCCCTTCTCCCGATTGTATTTGTCAGTTTCCCACTACTTGCTGCGCAGCCTTATTTTGACCCACGGCATCCCCTGATTTCCCCCGCGTCTTCTCAATCTCAAAAAATAAGGATCAAGAAGATGCGGGTGAAATCAGGGAATGCCGCAGGTCAAAATGCAGATGTGCAGTAAGTAATGGGAAACTGACGAATACAATTGGGGGAAAGGGAAGAGCGAGAGCAGCACAGTTGCTTGTGGGAAATCGGTCTTGGTTTTCTTTGCTCCATCTGCTCCCACCTACCTCCAGCCTAATTTTTAACGATTGGATTGTCATCATTGTCAAACCACTCCCTCTTCTCCCCCCACACCTTGAAGATGAGTGGTTTCAGTTTTTTAAAAGCTAAAAGATCAATATATTGATGTAATGTTGTAATGATAGTTTAAGCAGGTTCTTTAAATTCCCATCTTTCTTTCTTTCTTTCTTTTTTTAAAAAATAACCCTCTAGCTCTTTTCCTCCCACAGGTATGCCTTTTTCTATGTATCTCTGTGAGGGAAGAGGCTGGAGCAGAGCTGTTGAACTCATTTGTTATGAGGGCCAGATCTGACATAACAGAGACTTTGTTGGCCTGGGCCATGTGTGTCATAAAATGTGATGCATACAAACTTTTAAAATATTTTTATTTAATTTTTAGAAATAATAGACACACACGTAAACACAAAGACAAAAATAAACATAAACATTAAGATAAACAATGTTTCCTGTATACAGCGATACAACTAGTTCTGGACAATATTGCAACTGAGCACGCCTTTTTTTAAATAAAGACCTTCTTTTAAGATTTAACTAAATATATTCCAATTAACCTTCACAATTTAAAGTCAACATTTTTGATAAGGTTCTCACAACATCTCAGATGGTCATTAACCACTAAATATCCTTTTTCATTACTCTGAAGAATTCCTATCCATACATTTTCAACATCCTTTGTCAATATCTTATTGCAACTACAATTATATACTTGTTTTCCCAAATAAATATCCACCAGTGTCATGAATTTACTACAATTTATAAACAGTTTAGCTTCCCACCTATTTACTCACCCTTTTCTGCCATATTCCCTTTTAATCATTATTTATTCCAGCAGTTTATGAAATACATATCACTGAAATTTTCACTTGTATAAATTCAAAATGGGAAGTTGACTCTTTATCAAAATTAATTTCTCTCCCCTTCTCTATAATTCTATATCTAGCTTTCCATCTCAGTAATGCAATATCTAATTTTCACAGTTTTCAATGCCTTAACACCAATTATTCAATATCACATTATAACAGAAGCTCTGAATTCATAATTCCAATTAAACATAAATCAGCAAAATTAATCTTTCATCCTTCCAATAACTTGATTTCTTCTCCTTAAAATGTATAGCTTACATTTTTATACAAATCCCAATTTTATTTTATATGTGTGTGAATTAACTTTTAAACTTCTAAACTTCCCCCTCTGTATTTCAGCCATGCTATTTCCAGTAATTTATTTACAAATAATCTAGTAAATACTTCATACATACAGCATAACAAAAAAAGAGAAACAAACAAAAAAACCCCAAACCCCATGATTCCATTTTTCCAGCAAGCATAGCACTTAACTCTTCGTCAAGGTTAATAATTTCCCCCCCTTCTCTATAAGACTATATCTAGCTTTCTTTCTCTATAACACGATATCTAACTTTTCACAATTTCAGTGCCTTACTACCATATCTCATTATAACAGAAGTCCTAAATTCATAATTTCAATGAAACATAGATCAACAGAAATAATCTTTCATTCTTCAAATAACTTAATTTTCTTTCCTGAAAAATTGTAGCTTACATTTTTGTATCAATGAGTCCCAATGTCTTCTTTCTTTGTGTGTGTGTGTGTATTAATTTCTATGCTCCCCCCTCTGTGTCTCATCCATATTATATCCAGTCTTATATTTTCTATCTTAAACTTCCAGGCATGCCGTTTTCGCTTTTCTCCCCCCCTTTCTCTCTTCTTTGCTAGAACTTCTCTGCTTATTCGTTTTTAAGTCTGTCTTTATATAGGACAACCTCTTATCTCCTTTTCCACTCCTATACTGGACAGGGGCTGATTTTCATCAAACAACTCCTTGGTGTGGCAAACTTGTTCCTCCGTAACACTCTGTTTGGGCTGTATCGGTTCTTCCTTAATTTCATTATCCAATTGTATGTTCTGTCGTTTTTCAGTTATATTCGCACAAACCTCTTCAAATCCTTTTTGTATTCCCTTCTGTATTCCATCTCTCAGT